TTGTCTTTCATAAGGTAATTTTTTCCCTTATTGTTTTCAAAGTAGAAGGGGGCCAAAATAAGTTAAATGCATGAACAAGAATCCAAATTATTTGTGGTTGATGGGTTTCAAACGTTTAGGTGCAAACTTAAGCTGGTTTCCTTGCACTCACCTTAAGTTTGAGGTAGGATGTTAATGTAAATGATTTAGTGTATCAACTAGTGTATTATATTCTATTAATTAGCATTAATTTGGGATTTACTTAATTAGTATCAATTACGAATTTATCTCATATAAATTATTCTAGATTCAATGTATTAGTTATTTAAATTCACTTTGTACAAGCTATAAATATATGCATAATTTTCTTACAAAAACTTTGAGAAACATATTCATTTCTCCCAATCCTACATTTATCTAATAAAATTATGCAAACATGACAAGATTTCAAGTCAAAAATTGTAGTGCCTCGCGTTATCATCATTGTGACAATGTTGAGACAATATTTTTAGCTTCATTTATGTCAAAATTTGCATTTCATTTATATCAAGAGGTAGGATTTTATGTCACCCTCTATTATGTACTCTTTTCCACATCTTGATAAACATAATTAACTTGCAAAGCACATGTGGACGATACAAAATTTTTTTCTCCATCCTCTTTAACTCTTTTTTTTTTTTTTCCTGGTTTTACATGATACCTACATTTCTTAGCTATCTTAGGTTGAAGTGTATGAGGATTCCAGAAAAAAGAAGCTGAAGATTGGATCCAACGCTTATAAACTGCAACCCAAGCCACTACTGCCAACTCTGCTTTCTAATGAGCCCAAATGGTATGAAATTAATGAAAGAAGAAAGGGGTTGAAAAAACTGATCCAAAATTAGTAACTTTTTTTTTTTTTAATTTGAGACAAAAATTAGAGTGAAAATAATAGATTGATGTTCATGAAGAAGAGGAAGAACATCTCTTCAACAAACTCTACAAAAATAGCATGCAACTGTTTCCCGTGGATTGCATTCAAGAGATATGTATCCACACCTTCTTTCGACGCATATTAACCCCAAAAATTCATCATTGTCCACATGGTCCTTTGAGCCAGCAATGTTGCGAAGTTTCTCAATCATTTTGACCATTATCTGTGCAAAGAGGCAGATTAACTAATGTCTGTGTTGTGTGGATTCGAATCAAATCTACAGAACATCAGTTTTTCCAATATCATTTCTCCTATGAGGTGTGGAAGCTGTGAATTCACATCTTGAGATATATTTTTAATACTTTTTCATGATTTACAAATTGAAAAAAAAGAAAATTGTAGTTTTGATACCTAAATTTTGACACGAGCAGTTTTAATTCCCATACGTGCAGTTTATGGGCATGGTACGAGTAAACACGAATTACATTAACAAATTGAATTTAATTTCAATGACTTTAAACACATTCTTGCCAATGCAGATAAGAACAATTTAACTTTTCCCATATATAAAAAAGATGTGGAAACTTTCTCTCTCTCTCTCTCTTTCTCTCTCAAGTAATCGCCTACTAACATGGGTTGAAAAAAAAGTAGCTGTATACTAACCTATGTCTGTCTACTTTCTGCTATTGTTGGAGCTTCCGAGCTCCAATGAGTTACACTGTTATCTTCCACCACTAGTCCTGCCTATATTACCTTCGTCTCGGAGTGGATTTTTGTTTTGGTTCTGTTTTCCCAGCTTTTATGGAGTTTTCTTGTTAGATTCTTATGGCAGCCAGAATGAAGCTGAATCCTGTATGCAATTGGATCTTTGCTTTGAAGAAATGTTAGTGAGTTGCAGCCAGAGAAAGTTCAATAAGGATGAGGGGAGTGGTAGTAAGCTAGATGAAGAGCATTGAGAAAGACCTCCCTACATTTCCCTCTTTGGCTGAAACTCAGATGCAAGGTAGAAAAGTTAATGGTTTTGAGTTAGGCAGTGCTTTCCACTGAAACTGGCTTCTTGGCTACAAATCATATGAAATCTGGAACTTCTCATGGGGACATGAGATTTTCATATATTCCTTCTCAGAATATTCAGTCTTCGCTTGTGCCTATAGTTAAGCTTTGTCATTTTGAGGGGGAGAGTAGTAAGAATGTGGTGCTACAATGATGGACCCAAAATGATAAATACACAAAAACTCACAAGAACAATCAAGAAAAACCGATATAGAGGCAAAGAAATTCTTTATTGATGAAAATCAAGCAGTGGCGCAAAACAAAGAAAACACAGCAGACAGACACTTCTCACTATAATGTCTTTATGCAGCTGTATAATTATATGTCAAATGCAAACAGCCAGACTTAGTACTTATATCCTATACAAAAACTTTTACTAATACTAATAAAGAATTCATACCTACATGGCCCACCTTAATAAAACCAACCAATCAGACTAAAGCCACATGGCAACATAAATAAATAGCAAAAGTTTGGTTTATATTTCTCCATACAAGAAGTCCCTTGGCCTTTTGGGTAGTAAAATGTGTTGTTCTTAAGGCTGTGGAGTCCCTCTCTCGATCTAGCTCTGAAGAATTCAAGACAATTCCCGTCCGGATTCAATTTCCTGGGCTTAGCTTGCACTACTATATAATTGGGATACTTAGCAATTTACCTAGTTTCATTGGTCAGCTTTGTATATAGATCAGCACACAGTTATATGTACAAACTTGGGTGTCATTTGCTAGAGTGTGTGTTGAATTTGAGTGTTGGTGAAACTGTTTACCAGTCAATTGAATATAAATGGATTCTCCATGCTGTGCTAAGTGCTCTGGAAACTACACCAGTAAATGTCCTCTACATCCTAAAGCGAGTCAGAAATGGATGCCTAAGATTGCTTAGCAGAAGAATATTCATGTAGTGAATAATGTTGAACCCAAATTTAGGGTTCTAATAATAATTATGCATGCAACTTTGTAAATTGAAGGATGAAATAATCACTCAAAAAATATGTGGGAGAGAAGAAAATAAATAACTCACAATATAATTGATATTTCAAACTATGGAAGAAAGTTGCACCAGAATAAATCCTAACAAACTCTCTTGGACTCTCTTGAATCTCTTAGGATGTATTTGATAAAATTGAAGTTTGAAAACTGAACTTTGAAATTTGAAATTTGAATATATTAAATTATTGAATTATTAAATACTAAATTTGATGCACTTGAGTGTCTATCATATTAAGTGATAAATGAATAGTTTATCACTTATTTTTGGGAACAAGTTTTGTTTAGAAAACTTAGCGCTACTTAATCAATAGACATAATCAATTTTTTGTTATTAAACGCATCTAAACATGTTAAGATCTGAATGTATTAAGTTTAGATACTGAATTGAGTAATCAAACAGAACCTACTTTATTTTTTAAAAAAATACTCCAACTAATACCATCTTTATAACTTATCAAAATTTGTAAAATACGAAATTACTTTCATAAAAAATTACCAAATAAAATACAAACTCCAAAATAACACAACTACTAAAAACCTCATTCCAATAATATTAATAAATAAATAAATAGAAACTTCTAGATTTGGTTTATTTTGCCAACGGATAAGCATTGGACAAAGGCCCCTAGAGCTAAATTCTAGTAAACCAAGAGGATTGTTTTAGAATATGGTGTCTACCACAGCTAGCTCTAGTAGTGAGGCTGGGGTGGAAGTGTTTGCTGCTACATCTCCTAGAAAGCCTCCTGGAAGTGTATTGGTTACGGATATTGAGATCCAACGTTTCTTTGCACATATCATTAGTTTATCTGAAGGGTTCAATTTAGCAAAAATGTTTACTAATGAACTTAATTTTCTTTCCAAATTAGCATATACTAGTACTAATTAAACGAAGCTGACAAGAAGATCTTTTCAAGTCACGTTTAAGCATGACTGAAATTGATCACCCTTTGAACCATTTCAAGTCGCGTTTAAGCATGGCTGCGATTCCAGGAAGTGTTCTTTCTCACATCATGTCTAATCTTCCACCATGGAAAATGAATTGCTTATAATTACAATCTTCAAGTTAAGGATCAATTGCTTTGTATAACCAGATGATGGACAAAAAAAGGAATTTTGAAATTTTGTAAAGGAGGTACAAAAACTAAAAGAAATGCCATACACGAAATTCTATTTATTATGCAATAAATTATGTACAACTAATCTTTTAATACTTTAATGATTAATTTACACTTGAATTCGCCTAGAAAAGAAAATTTACACTTGGCTTCTTTACCTTTTTTTTTTTTTAAATTCTGGATATTCCTCATCTTCTTCTTCCTTTTCTTTTTTTATTCATATAGATAGAATTTCATTGCTATTCTTCAAAAATATGCACGGCAGAAGCACGAAAACTGCAGCATGATGGACATCTTCCCGACCCACATTATAATCAGACATCCTTCAATCAAATAAGACCGATAAAAAGAGGAAAGTTAAAAGGAATTAGTAATCTTATAAAAAGCAAGATCGAATGTGGAACCGGAAAATTGAAGTTACTAGACCTACTACATGAAATATGAATGAATGGAAAATTTGATTTCACCAAGTAGAAACTGCAGCTGATAATGTGTTGAAGATATGCTCTTGCTGTTGCTAGTGTACTCCACATATGCAATGGTAAAGAAAATGTTCTTTCATGTTCATCAATGAAGTTAGGATGTATGGGATGGGAGTTGAGAGCTATTACTTGTGATATCTGTAATTTGCGGAAAAATATCCGTTTGTAGCTTCATTTGGATAATTAAGAAGAAGAAGTAATAGTAATATATTTTGTCACACACATCGTGAGAAAACATTTCATCGAAGTGCATATTCTATGTTGCACAAAATTTGCAATGTTCATTTGGCTTTAACCGTTTTCAGCTATGTACAATTATCTTTTTTTTTTCAATTGTACGTTTAGCCCAATTGAGTAGTAAACAATAGAATTTCTTTGTAATTTGATATTAAAAAACCATGTGTATAAGCCCATTACTGTACGGACAACATAATAACAAGAAGCAGTTTTAATAGTACGGAAATAAAGTGTCCCTTCGGGGACATCCGATATAATTGGAATGACACAGAGAAGATTAGCATGGTCCCTAATAAAGGTTTAAACACTAAAAGGTCATAAATATGAATTATTTATAAGTCATGGATTATTTTGCAGGAGTTTGCCTGTGACGCCCCCACTTCTCCTTAAGGCGAATCAAAGGGTATCTGCGGGACGCCTGCCCAACTCTCGCCAGGACTCACGCAAAACATTCAAGCTTATTACCAAACTAACTTCACAAGTACAATAACATAAATACAATAATGCGGAAGCGTTCAAGTTTAACCATGGTCATTCATTATCCAACCCGTACATCGGGTGTTCAAAATACAACTTTAAACCCAAATATACCTTATGCCCAAATACTACATTCCAATTATAAAAGCACAACCCAAAACCAAGAGGCATAGACAAAATATGATAGAAACCCTAAATAATAGTACATCAGGAGAGTTTCTCCAATATGTCTCCGAATCCAGTCCTGTTAAGGAAAACAAATCTACAGGGTGAGCAAAACGCTCGTGAGACCAAGAACGCACAGGCAAGCACATTGCTCAAATAACAATCCCAATTTACAAGTCAAGCAATCATATTTTAATAATTAACAATTTACTGGAAAGATAACCAGAAACAATTCAAGGATACTGGAGCTCTCAGGAGCTATATATTCCACTTGCACATTCAATAACCTCCACGAATTGACACTCCGTCAATCGGGTAGGTTTAGTCCGTAGAACTCCACTTAACCTGTCCCCTTTCACCTTACATACCCCTGTATCGGGCCCGCCTGTCATTTGTTTGTGGCGATACTACTCGAGTATGCCAAGCAAGACCTCTCATTAGGTCAGGCTTATATATCTCATGGCTCGCCAAGGTTCCCGACCAAGCCCATGCCGGCTCGAATCCAAGGTCGGCCAATGAGATCTGGGCGTTCCCATGTGCATTTGTGTGTCGAGGAGATTCACTTCAACGACGTATGCAGTTATAGCATACTATTACATTTCATTCATTCATTCAATACGTTTCAATCATTCATTCAATACATTTCAATCATTAAAATTTTATTTCTAATGAGAACGAGTGTGGTAAAGTACACACTCGACTCCACTTTCAAGATTTCCAATCATTAATAACAGTTAAGCATGTAACAAGTTTACATACACTTGACACTCACCAAGTATTAAGTGTAACTAAGGTCAAGGAAAGTTCAAGCGTCCACCGTGGGATCCTCTTGAAGGTCCTCGTGTGCGCTTGAGCAAATAATAGTGAATTATCATTCATATCTCAATTATCGAGGAATAATTCGTTCACTAGTATTAATCTAGAGAATTTCGTGAAAATGAATCTCAATTACTCGTAAATCGAGGTTTGCGTGGGGTTTGATAACGTTCAAAAGTATTTAAGTATTTATCTAGGAAATCGGGGATAAAACGTTTAGATAATATCAACAGAATAAAGAGTTTTTGAAAAACTCTATTTCCTTGAAAGTTGGAAAATTTCAGTTTTGTTATGAATCTTTGAAAAATCGTAACTCACTCGACATAAGTCAAGAATTGGAAAACTTTATACCGTTAGAAACCTCTTAGAAAGTACTACAAGTTCCTAGAAGACACTTTTCCATCAATCGAAGTAGAAAGTGCTCAAAAATGAGCTTGAAGGTACTGACTCAGTTCACAAGGCAGAATTAAGTTGGATTTTGGCCAACTTTGAAAATTCGGCAAAATTCACACGTTACGAACCGGCCTCTGAAATTTGTAACTCAATTAGAGTTGCAAGTGAAGTTTATAGCAGAGCAAGCGGATCAGGAATCGAAGTTTCAAAGTTGGGGAAAATTCAAGACTGGAGAAGAATTTCCAGATTTGAACTTCCAAAATTGGAAGTTTAGTTAGGTATCGAAACGAACTTGGATTGGTACCAAAACTGGTAGTATTTTACTCTTATATGAAGGGTATCTCTCTATCAAGTTTCATAGAAAAATACCTTCGGGAAGATAGTCAACGAACCAACTAAAGTTTGGAAAAATTCTTAAGGCAATCTGCCTTTAATCCTTTTCTTTCCAAATCCAATCGTTTGGCTAAGAAAATCCTCCAATCATGGTTCATATGTGAAAGGAAAGTCTAAGGAACATTCATGGTACATTTGGTAGGTGTTTAACACCAAGAATTTCATTTAGTAAGACCACAACAAGTCTCATCTCAAATCTGTCCAAAACTAGGTTTTTCCAAAACAGAGCAGTGTTCTTGTTTTGATCACAACTCAGTCGCATTAACTCGGAATTGAGCATGGTTTATGGCGTTGGAAAATAAATTCATAGGGCTAAAAATTCACAGAAGAAAACGTTCTGAAATTTGGCAAACAACCAGCTCGAAATTGAGCCTCAAGTTGCTGCCTGAACAAATCATTCCAACAGAATAGAGAAACAGGATATCTGTTTTAAAACGAATGGTTCGGCTCTTACACATGGAATCAGAATGTGAATTTTATACCGTTGGAAAGGTATGGATATCTAGTTTCAAATGCCACCAACGGCACTCGATTTCAACATCGGAGGACAAAGTTATGGTCGAAATGCTACCGCTGGTCAGGGTTATCCGAAAACAGTTTTCCAGCTTGACTAGTTCACAAATAAATTCATTTGCCCAACCAAACGTTAATGTTTTCCAATGAAAATTTTTACACATCTAATACAACATATAAAAATCAGGTTCAAGCCATTAGATCATCAAAAATTGGCCTTATCATGGCCGAACAAAGCAGGGGCAGTTTCAGAAATTTTTGTCATGGCCTCAACTTTGAGTTTCCAACAATAATACTCCATAAATCTATCATTTTAACCACTAAACTACCATTAAAGCCAACATTAAACCTCTTATCAGCAACAACCCAAGAGTGGGAGTTCATAGAGCCCACTTTCAAATTTTCCAACAATATCAAGCCATCCATATACATGCAATTGCTTAGAGATGCATTTCTACTACCATAAACCAAGTTTAAGGTGTTGGATTATGTTATACCTCCTTAGTGCTTTAGATCAGAAAATTTCGGTCCTCAAGAGGCTCCAAGAAACCATGAAATGCAGCCCTTCAGTTAGCTAGATCCAACCTCCAAGTAGTTTCCTAGTTGAGCTACAAGTTTGGTGAAGATTGGTTGGAGTTTTGTTGTTGATTTGGTGAAGAAATTTTTGAAACAAGGGAGTTAGAGAGGGAGAGGGGCTGGCCGGCAATAGGAGAGAGAAGAAAGAGTGAAATTTGATCAAGGTTAACTTCCAAGAGAAGATTAAAATGAGTGGTGTAAATTCACTCCAAGATCAACTCTGATTAGGGCTCGTTTGGTGCGTTTAGGGCTCGATTTCTCTCGCGTTTGGTTCACTAGTGCACTAAACCTCTAAAGCACTTATGCTCATATAAATATTATTCACTTTTAGTTGTCCCGAAATAAGGGTCTAAAGTCCCTCAAATAAAGTCGCACGTGTGAAAATGCGTACCGTCAATTTTAACGCTATAACGCGAAACCTCTGAGAAATTCTTATAACGATAGTACTATTAACTATCACTTAAGTATTTAAATCTAAAATTACCTATTTTAAAACCGTTGTACATGTCTCAAATTTTTCCGGGCTAATTGTACTTTTTATTGGCAAAGATTTTCCAAACGCGTTTTCACCTTTTCTCTAAACAGGCTCCTAAGAAAATAATTTTTGAAACGAGACACTTTAAAAATGTAACGAAACTATAATATCATGTACTTAGGTCTAATGAGGCTAGAAAATAATAATCGGAGCAACTATTTGAATAAATAATTAAATGAGCAAAAATTAGGGGTCGAAAAATAATAATTTTACGAGTCCTCACATCCTCTCCCCCTTAAGAAAATTTCGTCCTCGAAATTTACCTTGATTGGCGAACAGGTTTGGATACTTTTCTCGAATTGCTTTTTCGACCTCCCAAGTTGCTTCCTCCAACCCATAGTTCTTCTAAAGGACTTTTACTAATGGTATCTGTTTATTCCTCAATTCCTTCACCTTCCTATCCAGAAGCTTAACCGGTTTTTCCTCATAGGTCAAAGTCTCATCAATCTCAACATTTTCCGGTTGCAAGACGTGAGAAGGGTCCGGATGATACTTCTTGAGCATAGATACATGGAACACATTATGGATTCGAGACAAACTCAGCGGTAATTCCAACTTATAGGCTACACTCCTTACACGTTGGATAACCTTGTAAGGCCCTACAAACCTTGGCTGTAACTTCTTTCCTTTTCCTGACATCAAACTTGCTTTCAAAGGTGTAATCTTGAGAAATACCAAATCTCCAACAGTAAATTCCAAATCTTTTCTTCGATTATCGGCATAACTCTTTTGGCGGCTCTGGGCGGTCTGAATTCTTTGGCGTACCAACCTTACTTTCTCATTAGTTTCTTCAATCCAAGATACTGTGGTCGGATCTAAGATTTTCCGTTCACCTATTTCATCTCAACAAAGTGGAGACCTACATCTCCGACCATAAAGTGCCTCATACGGGGCCATCTGAATAGAAGAGTGGAACTATTATTGTAGGCAAACTCCACTAAAGTAAAAAACTTACTCCAACTCTCTCCAAAATCCAGAACACAAGTCCGTAACATGTCCTCAAGAGTTTGAATTGTCCTCTCCGACTGTCCATCCGTCTGGGGATGATAAGTGGTACTAAAGTTCAATTTAGTCCCTAACACTTCTTGCATCTTTTGCCAGAACCTCGAAACAAATCTTGGATCTCTATCCGACACGATACTGACAGGTATTCCATGCAACCTAATGATCTCATCCAAATACAACCTGGCCAACTTCTCCAATGGGTATTTCATAATAATCGGCAGAAAATGAGCTGATTTGGTCAATCTATCCACGATTACCCAAATCGCATCATGGCCTCTCTGTGTTCTTGGTAACCCCGATACAAAATTCATAGTGATATTCTCCCATTTCCACTCAGGTATTTCTAGAGGTTGCAAAAGCCCTGATGGTTTCTGATGTTCGGCTTTAACCTGTTGACAAATTAAGCATGTTTGAACAAATTGAGTAATCTCCTTCTTCATATTCTCCCACCAATAAAGACT